TAATCATGAGTAACAAGTTTTACATATCTATATAACCATTTAAAAGTCAATTGTTTTATTAAAAAACTTGAACAGAAATGAAATACATGGAAGGATGACCTGTATTATGTAAGCATATGTACATGCTTTGAACAAATCACTGCATTAACAGATACACTGATTTTAGAACACAGATTTTAAGTGAGCCAATAGTCAGCCAGCACATTCACCCTGATTAAAAGATACAGTGAATTCAGAACAGGCTTTTTATTTAACAGGCTGAAATGCACTTAGCACATTATCATTTTGAGAGAGATTAAAAGTTGAAGTACATTCAATATTTTATGCTGAGACATTTTGAAATGTAGTTTGCATTTTCTCTGAAAGTGTAAATCAAGTTTTCATTTATGACTTGATTAAAGAAAATGTATTCTCACAAAAATTATTCATAATCTTCTCCCAGAAACACAATTTTTGTTTTTAGACAGAAAAGAAGGCATTATTGAATACTATTTCATATCATATAAAGGTAACAGTGAAGCATCCGCTATTCCGTCTTTATAATTCTCTCTCATATTAAAAAAGTAGAGAAATAAGGCCTTCTTGCAAGAGGTACAAAACAAGAAATCTAAGGGTTCTCTCTTGGATGCTTATTCTGGAATTTCAACCATTTCCTCCAGGAAAAGCCTCCCTCCCTCTCTAACTTGCTCCATACTGGAGCCAAAACTTTCTTTCTAGTCAACTGCTCTGATATCTCCATCCCCAGGGTGAAGGCCTTCAGCTTCTCCCTGCTAACAGAGTAAGATCCAACCTCCTTCAACCTTTCTTGGACTGGTCCTCCATCCTCCTCTCCAGCCTTACCTCTCTCCCTGAGCACCAGACACCAAGGCCCCTGTTTGTTTCCAGAAGGTGGCCTTTTTCTTATTCTCTGCTTCTGCTCTACTCTCTGGTTGGAATGGCCTTCTCTCTACCTCATCCATTAGTCATCAACACCAGGTTCCTTCTAGGACAGCTCAAATTCGCCACTTCCTAAAGTCTTCCTAAAATTAAATCCCTTCCTCTTGGCTCTATGTTTTCTTGTTCCTTTAATTTAGCATTTAATATTTCAGATTAAGCACAGAGAACAAACTGGTGATTGGTGGGGGGAGAGGGATGTCAAAGTGGGTAAAGAGGAGTGGGAGGTCATGGCTTCCAGTTACAGAAGGAATAAATCATGGTGATGAAATGTAGGGCATAGGGATTATAGTCAATGGTATTGTAACACTGTTGTCTGGTGACAGGTGGTAGCTACATCTGTGAGCACAGCATAACGTACAGAATTGTTGCATCACCACTCTGTACACTCATACAACATTCTTTGTCAACTATACTTCAAGAAAGAAGGAAAAAAAAAAAGCATTCCAGTGTTATATGCTCACTCCACAGGCATCACTCAAGATATGCAAGCCTTCAACCCCATGTCCTACCTGTCCACATTCCATTGCACTGAGACCAGTGGTTGCAGGAGGCACATCTAGGTTCTTGCTTTTGCCCTGATACCTACCAAACAGGTGCTAACCATGGCAAAAGAATATCCTCTTAGGAGCCCAGGCTCAGACATGAGACTACCTACTTGAAATCTAGCCTCAACTACTTACCAGCAGCAAGATCTTTTTGTGCCTTGGTTTCCTCTTTTGTAAATAGCCATAATAATAATGTATGCTGCATGAAGTCTTCAGAGAATTAATGATTTCACATATATATGCACAGGACAGGCTGGTTAGTTAAGCATGATGCAATAGATAGTAATAAAGAAAAATAGATCTAAATAGATGTGAATACATACTCTGTAAACCACAAATTAGAATTACTCAAAAGCTGAATGATTAGTGAACTAATGAACAATTGATAATTTTGCTTGTTATAGATACTAAGGGTTATAGCATTTTTTTCTATCATATTTATATCTGCGCTTTAGGTAGAGAAATAAGTTATTTGGAAAGTATATGTAGCAGGTGGACCACTGAATATCAGGAAGAGCCAAAATAGATCTTCTGCAAGATTGGATCACTTGCCCAATTTATGGGTCAAACAATTGGAAATGAGTCTGAACTGAAATGGCCACACTGAAGAACAGATGCTCTAATATATTCAGCTCAACATTCCCAGGCCCCTAAGCTCCTAATGAGAATGTGGCTCAGGCCACGCTGCCTCTACACTCTATGTCGTAGAGAATTGTCTGATCTGGGTTTATTTCTCAGTGTGCCACAGCCGTTTTATGTTAGAAACAGAGTATAAACCAAATCAAGCACTCTGCCTTGAAATTTCTTTGTGGTTTCTCATCAACACTAAGAAAGAGCCAAAGTCCTTCAAACTTTTAGACTGTCAGAATCTTAGACCTCTCTTGTACCACTCTGTCCCTGTGTCCTTTCTTGTTCTGCATTCCTGATTCTCCCTCAGGCAGGCTACTCCTTTCCATCTATACTGTCCACCCTGATATTTCTGGGACTGGACAGTCAGGGTACCGCCTTCGAGCCTTTGAACTTAGAAGACTTCCTGTTTAGAAGAATTTCCCTGGATATCCACATGGTTTTCTTTCTCACCTCCTGAAGTTCTCATTCAAATGCCCCCTGAAGTGAGGTCCTCTTTGTCCAGCCCATGGGAAACTGCATACCTTCCCCAGGCATATTCCTGGAATCCCCTTCCCCTGCTTTGCTTTCTCCATGGCATTTTTCAGCATCTAACAGGCTGTCTTGCTTTTTGATTTTTTCTCTGTGTGTTCTGTATACTGACTCCTACAACCTAAATGTAATTTCCAAGAGAGAAGATACCTTCAGCACAGTCACTGTTAGAGCATTACTGCCTAAACAACGAACAACACCTGGCACAAACTGGACACTTGATAAATAGTCCTCAAACAAATGACTGTAGAGATTGTGTGTAGCTAATCAGCAACCAGAATAAAGTTAAGGAGGTCAAGGAGCTCCTTGCATTTAAACGAAGGTTTTCATAAATCATTCCACCTTGCAACTTGAAAGATACAGTTTGAAAGCTGCATTAACTTAGGTCAGTGGTTCTCCACTGGAAGTGATTCTGCCCCTCCTCAGAACATTTGGCAATGTCTGCAGACATCTCTGACTGTCACAACAGTGATGGGTGGATGCGTCCTCCTGATATCTAGTGGGTAGAGGTCAGGGAGGCTGCTAAATATCCTACCATGCACTGGACAGCCCCCTACAACAATGCGTGATCCATCCAAAAATGTCAATCATGGTAAGGTTGAGAAACCCACACCTGATTTAGTCAGAGGTAATTTCTTAGATCTAACTCAAGAGCATGGAGTCTTTATATATTATAAGGGAAGAAGGGAGGGAAGTAAGTGGGTCAATTTGTTGGTATTACAGAATACCAATTACACAAAAACTTTCATTTGTAAAACAGAAGGAGGTTAAAAATGACACCAATAATGGTCACCCAGCAAGGAATAAAATTTGTTACCACGGATTTATCTATGTAAACAGGAGAAGAGGGGCACCTGGGTGGCTCAGTTGGTTAAGCATTGGACTTGTGATTTTGGTTTATATCATGATCTCAGGATCATCAGATGTATCCCTATGTTGGGCCTGCACTCAGCGAGGAGTCTACTTGAGATTCTCTCTCTCTCTCTCTCCCTGTCCCTCTCCCTCTGTATGCAACCCCCCCACTCTCTCTTTCTCTCTTAAAAATAATCTTAAAAAAAAGCACAAAAAAACAAGACAAGAAATGGCTCTGTCCTACTCAAAAAAAAAAAATTGAAGATAAAAGGAAACTGAATTATAAAGGAGGGTCTTTGCTTCTTGTCCTTTAAACCTCTCTTAAAATTGTGTTCCATGCTTTTTTTTTTTTACATGTATTCTTTCAGGAATAACTGATAAAGTTATAACAAGAAAAAATGGAGAAAAATCCCAAATTGCCATCTCTTCCCTAAGAGTTGGCATGGTCTGTTGTGAATGGCTATGAGTATTCAGCAGGAGCCAAATCTACAAGGGAGAAGCTCTTCTAATCCTTCTCTTAGAGGAAAATCAGGGATAGGAGAACCTGGGCAAACAGTAACCAGGCAATCAAAACCCATAGAGATTCTGAAGGATGCAGTGTTTCTCCCACAGTAAGCATCACATGAGCTAATCTAATCATGGTTAGATCACAGAACTCTCCTGCTATAAAAATGCGCTAACAGCTCTGGAGAATTAAGTATTTGGGAAGAAATAAATAAAGCCTTATTGACTGATAAAACCATGACATCTCTACAACAAAACATATTAATGGCTAGATGAAAAACTGAAATTCTCTCTCTAGAAGAGTCCATTTGGTACAGACACTAATGTACAATCAATAGGTGAATTCAGATCCCAGTTTTCCCCCTTTATCCATGTAAAGGCATGGTGTGGTACTTTCTCCTTTGACATTATAGAGTATTTTTTCATTTAGCTCTTAGCTCACTCGGGTATGTTATTTTTTTTAACTAGACCTCAGAAATCACACTCTTTCCAAGAGAAGCTTCTGCTCTCTTCCACAAAGCATTCTTTGATACCAAAAGCAAACCTTCCTACTACAAAGACAAACAGAACTTTTGAGAAAATGGTCTTCAGTAGAGCTGAGGACAACTCTGTAGTTACCAGCAATTAATCTTTGAAGAAATGGGCAGTAAGGAGGTAGTAAAGAAATATGTGTATGTTTTTCATTAACAAATGGAAAATCAGTCATAGATCTGTTCCTTGAAACCAAAGAGAAACTCCCATCTTAAGATGGAAAGATTGAGAATGAACTGAAAGACTAGTCAAAATGTTTTCCTTGGTTAAACCAATATTCTACTAAATAGAGCAAACTGTTACTTTATATCTGAAACTGCTGAAAATACTGGAAAGGTATAAAGAATAAAATAACTATTTCCTCCTAGAGCTGGGAGGATCTTTTCCCCAGACTGACAAAGAACACCTCTAGCCCACAGAAACTTGTCAACTGTAAAATGACTTATGAAGTGGGTATTAACTACGGTAACTTACGGACAGCAAGGGAATGGCAACTTTTCCAAGAAAATCAGGAGGTTTATCTCCATCTTCATCAAACACTGTCACTTCCAAAACATCATGGATATCTTTAATAGGACTGAAATGAGAAACGTACCATGTATTATATACAAAAACACACAAGTGGAGTCTGTTCCATGAAGATCTGAAAACACGGTTTCACTAATTAAGCCTGAGAGTCCTTAGAGTATAAAACTATCATTTAATTAAATTCCAAAAATTAAATCAAACTGAACTGTATTCCCAAACCTTCCATCATAGAAGATTCAGACATCCATATGAAAAAAAAGTCAACTTTTTTACTATGACATTTTCCATGTATACATGCACTCAAGGGTAGGACTATTAAAGAAACAGGAGGATAAAAATATGAGACAGAATGAGGAGGGTAAAAAGACAGTGATTTCAAATAGACAATAAGATTGTCTTTACATTAATGAAAAAAAATTAATGGAGAATTCCCTTTTTAAAAAAAGGTGGTCAAAATCACTATTTGCTGAGATCCATAGAAAGCTTATCATTGAAATACAAAATATGAAAAATCACGTGCATATTTAGAAACTTTTTTTTTATGTTGACCAGAAACCATATATCACCTATAATGAAAAATGGAGCCATGGTCATCAGCAATGTATTGAGCAAACAAGAAATTCTTTCATGTGGCAATTTGCACACCTGTTTAGGTGAGTTAGTCCACTTCTCAGATCTTTGGGAACTTTCTTTCATCAGTGTTTTATAGGTTTCAGAGTGCAGGTCTTTTACCTCTTTGGTTAAGTTGTTCCTAGGTATTTTATTATTTTGGTATAATTATAAATGGAATTATTTTATTAATTATATCTTTTTACTGCTTCATTATAATGAATAGAAATGTACCAGATTTCTGAATAATAATTTTATATCTTGCTGAACTGAACTCATTATTGCTTCTAGTAGCTTTTTGGTGGAGGAATTTTTAGGGATTTCTATATTCTGTCATCTGCAAATAGTGAAAGCTTTACTTCTTCCTAATTTGGATGCCTTTTATTTCTTTTTCTTGTCTGATTGCTGTAGCTAGGAATTCTCGTACTATGTTGAATAAAAGTGGTGAGCGTGTACATCCTTGTCTTTTTCCTGTCCTTAGGTGAAAAGCTCTCATTTTTTTCCCCACTGAATAGGATGCTAGCTCTGGGTTTTTCAAATGTGGCCTTATTTATGTTGAAGTATGTTTCCTCTAAACCTGCTTTGTTGAAGGTTTTATCATGACTGGATATAGTATTTAGTCAAATTTAGTCAAATTTTTTTCTGCAACTTTTGAAATGATCATATGCCTTTTATCCTTTTATCACACTGATTTGCAAATATTGAACCATCCTTGCATCTTGGGAGTACACCCCACTTGATTGTGGTGAATGATTTTTTTTTTTTTTAATGTATTGTTGGATTCCATTTCCTAATATGTTGTTGAAGAGTTTTGCACCTATGTTCATCAGAGGCATTGACTTGTAGTTCTCTTTTTTGGTGTGGATCTGATTTTGGTATCAGGGTAAAGCCAGCCTCATAGAACGAATTTGGGAGTTTTCTTTCCTCTTCTATTTTTTGGAAAAGTTTTAGAAGAATATGCATTTTTTTAATTTGATTAAGCTTTTATTTTTTTAATTTTTTTTAATTTTTAATTTTTAAATTTATTTTTTATTGGTGTTCAATTTGCCAACATATAGAATAACACCCAGTGCTCATCCCATCAAGTGCCCACCTCAGTGCCCGTCACCCAGTCACCCCCACCCCCCGCCCACCTCCCCTTCCACCACCCCTAGTTCATTTCCCAGAGTTAGGAGTTTTTCATGTTCTGTCTCCCTTTCTTATATTTCCCACTCATTTTTTCTCCTTTCCCCTTTATTCCCTTTCACTATTTTTTATATTTCCCATATAAATGAGACCATATAATGTTTGTCCTTGTCTGATAAGAATACATATTAACTCTTCTTAAGTATTTGGTAGAATTCATCTGTGAAAACACATGGTATTGGACTTCTGTTTGTTGGGAATTTTTGATTACTGATTCAATTTCAATCCTTGGGAATCATCAACGCTATTCAAAGTATATTCTTTTAGTTACAAGTACAGCATTTCTTCAGTGTTGTGAGGGCAGGAAACCACCATTTGACCCAGATCGAAAGGTACCCCCACTTGATGGCCAGGTACCTGAGAATCTGAAACATACTATGAAATATATCCAGCCTCCTAAATTCCTGAGTTTGAAAGAGTGGATAGGGCATTGCCATAAGACAGTTCAGTCCAATAAGCTGGAATACAAAGAAACACTGGGACTCTTTAGGGAATCACAAATAATCTGTATTTTCCAAAAGACTCTGGCATAATACAAGCCTTTAGGCATTGCAAAAATGTTGTAAAATATAAACTTGAATTTATGGCAGGTCTACATTTGTAATTTTCTTTAACCCGGGAATGAATTAGTCTGGGTATATGGAAGCTTCCACCCACTCACAGATTAACTGACTTACTAAAAGATCTGCTTTACAAATGCCTCCTCTAACACTCCCTTGCAGTTCTAAATGGCCTCTTCTATTATTAACTCTATGCTCTATAAAATGAAAGGATAAAAGGTTTTCAGAAGGAAAAAAACAATAAAATTCATTCTTTGCACATAAAAATGGACAGAAAGTTCCACTCAAGAGGCCCAGCCTACCCCAAACATATCAAGGATAATTGATCTCTAAGTTAAAACCACTCCCTGGTATTCTGGAGACTAAATCACTTACAATGTAAAAACTTTGTTCCACTCGGGATTGAGGTTTTTGTAAATGGTGTGTGTCTGAAGTCGGTCATTGCCTAACTCCAACAAGCAAAAAGGATCACTCTTCCCTGGAAAAAGAACACAGGACATTGGTCAAGGCAAAGGAATCTCCCTGGTCAGAGACAAATGAATCTCAAAAGTAACAGAGGCCAAGTGAATAAAAGCCATGCACTTTTATACCAATAAAACTATGTTTGCTAAAAGAGCAAAAGTGAGCATCTCTTTCCAGCAAGTCTTATGTGGGAATTCAGGAAATGGACAGAACCTATATAAGTGTTGGGACTGTAGCATACTTAGTGGATAGAGATGGAAAAAAATAACCCAGATGCAGTCCAGAGAGCCAGTGACCACATAGGCTGCAGAGGAGCAGATGTCAATCTGGCATGTGAGGGAGTCCAGTTTTGTGTTTTGTTTTAATATAGAAGCTCCTCTCTATTTCTTGTCTAAGTGCTCCCTGCATCAATATAGATAATTACTCAGCCATAACTGGAAGCCTATGAGAACCTATAGGCTTCTGCATGGTCATGAGAGAAGGGAGGAAAACTATAAACATGGCTACTCAGGAGTTAAAACTACTCTGCAGGGTGTGGCCCTAAACTCATATGATCTTATATATTCAGTATGGGAATACATATGCTATATTTTTGCTGCTCATAAACAAGCAAAAGTAGAGTTCCATAAAGCAAGTTCAAAGTTTTCATCTTAAAAAAAAAAGTGAAGCTTAACCCTTACTTCTCTCATCTCACCTCTTCTTTTTCCACCCCACCTCACATACCCTCCAAAAGAAAAAAAAAGTTAGAAATTCCAAAATCCAAAGCTGGACCTAGAAAGTTACTGCCCCAAACAAACAAACAAACACAAAAACCTTTCTTTTGTTGGGTTTGACAGTGGGATCTAGAATCCTAACTGTCAGGGACAGAATGGATAGCTCTATAATGTCTGTACAACATGAACACATTGCCTGCCTCCGCAGCACAGCGACACTTTACAAAGCGGTGCGTACTAAATTAATTGGGGGCATAAGGACAGATGCCCCGCCAGCACATGGCCAAGGAATCCCAGGCCAGGGTCTAATGCCGAAAGCACTTAGGCCTCTTGACCTACTGCCCTACTATTTAGGTCACTGAACCTACACCTAATTAACTAAATAACCAGGAGCTCTAAGGTACAACACATCAATAGACAGACTGACACATGCAGGACTCTGCATGAAGACTCTATTAAAAAAAAATTAAAAGAAGAAGAAGAAGAAGAACAGATGCATGGGCAAGGGTCAGTATGTAACAGGAGATTTCATTCAACTAACTAGTGCTCTGGACACTTAGATGCCAGGCCAAAGCTTTTACATCAATGAATGCCAAGATCTCAGTGGTCAGTAGACAAGGACCAAGCCATAGACAAAAATGAGGTGGGGTTGTCAATTACAAACATGGAAATGGCCCCTGTCTAAATTTAGCAGAGAAGGAACTTATTAAAAATAGTATCAGGGGGCTTTCAAAATCATTGCGAAGATTTGAAAGCCAGGCTTAAAATCACTAGAAAACCAAAGAATGGTATAGAAATATGCAGGCACAAGAATGTCAGTTACTTTCTCTCCCCAGGAAAAGTCTGGCCTCTGCTTCCCAGGAAAATTAGCTTCACAGTTCCTGGCCCCTGGGTGTGGTGGCCACCTCTAATACGAATTATCCTCTCCTGCTTCTTTGCTGCACTCGATATAGATGTAATGGCCTCCAAGGAAACCTCTGATTACTCCTGTCTCAACAAGTACCCATGCCCTAAACACCAGTGCTCAAAGGAAGTACTGGCTATTTACCTTCTGCCAATGCAAGTAGGCTCTGACCTCTTTTCCAAAACACGCAATAGGAAACTCCCAAAATTTACAAGGGGTTTTGGATGTTGGGCAGCTGAAATCAAACCAACACAAAAATCCGTCTGTATCTTAACAAGAAATCTTGCTTATTTAAAGACAGTTTTAGGGGTCCCTGGGTAGCTCAGTTGGTGAAGCATCTGCCTTTGGCTCAGGTCATGATCCCAGGGGGGGTCTTGCTTATTGGGGAATTTGCTTCTTCCTCTCCCTCTGCAGCTCCTATTTGTGCTCGCTCCCTCTCTCTCTCAAAAAATTAAATAAAATCTTAAAAAAAATAATAAAGACAGTTTTACTCTGGGAGTACACTTTGCAGGGTAAGGGATAGGTTCTGGGCAGGGGCGCTGCCGATGGAGGAGGGCAGATTACCCCTTTAACAACCAGGCACATGAAGACAACATGTGCTCTCTGCTGCACACTTAGGTAGAGGACGCTGGATCCCTCAACCCGAGCTGAAGCAGCTACTTAACCATTTGTCAGACTGTTAGTAGGTGTCAGGACTGGTCCTCTAGAGACACCAACATGACATCCCATCAGCGCTCACTCCGGGGGAAAGCATCTGACACTTTTAATGAAAGCCCTGGGGTTACTCCACAGCAGGGCAGAGACGTGGCCGGTCCTGTGCAAGCACAGGTGGGCTTGAGCTGTGGCCCCCTCTCTCTCTCTCAAGCCAGCACACTCTTAGCTGTCCCAGCTAATGAGGAACAGACTTCCTTCCAGAAACTGGGAACTTCAGTTATGAGTCTCCAAGGAACATACTGCACCAACTCTCTGAAGGTGATTCCGTCAAAGCTCATTAAAATGCTGCATTTATTAATATTACGGTATAAGCAGGCAGAGAGGAGGAAGAGGAAACAAAGACTTTAAAACACTGATAGAGTCATTTATCTACACTTTACAAATTGCTTTTCTTCCCTTAAAAGGTTTTTAGAAATGTGGGGATTTTCTAAAGTTTAAAAAATGAATACATTTATTGGAAATAAAAATGATGTCCCATAATAAATGGAATGTCCAAATGTTCGCCAATGGTCCTGAGCAAACAGCACCAGACAGACTGACCTATCCACACCTGGGTCTGCACTTTTTGTCTCTGCTCCATCTAGTTTTACAGGTAAAACATCTAGATGACCTCTTGTATGCCCAGATGCCATGTCACCTTGACACGGTTACACCGCTGGTGATTCCGTTTCACAGAGCTGCTTTAGCACCTTGCGCCGCATAGCCTTTGCTGCTTTTCAACACCACTTTACAATTCATTTATATTCCTTGAATGGCAAGTAGAGGCTTCTCATTTAAATAATTTTACCTTTATATCAGTTACAGAAGTTGGATGGAAGTAATAAATGTATTTTAGAGGTCATATCATTCATCTGACAAATATTTATTAAGCACCCACTCTGCTCCTGGCACTGAACCAGGCCCTGATGTACGCAGACCACCAAGTTATTACTTTTAAAGGACTCTCATAATAATCTCTGCTTTTCAGCAAATGTCACCTTTTCAGTGAAAACTTTCTTCGTGCTCCCTGCCAAGAGACTGAGTTGCTCTCATTTCTGATCTCTGGCTGTGTGTTTTCCTTTCACTTCTCATATTCCACATCTGAGCATTCCTATTCCATATTCAGTACTGTATTTCATTTAAGGGTCCAATGCAGGCATACCCAAGGGGTGCATACCCCACCAGTCCCTGTGAAGAGTGCCGTGATCCAGTGAAAGAGTCCTATAGGGAGATTTCTGGCTTCTGGTGGCAGGTGCCAGCTGGAGGAGGCCACCTCACTCCTTCTGCTCTATGCAAGTACCCATGCTTTACCCAGCTTCTCATTCAGTTCTCACATCAACTCCTAGAGGTGAGGAATGCTTGCATCCTTTTGCAAAAGAAGAGCCTAAAGTTCAGAGGGATTTAGTGTGGTTGATCAAAGTCCAGAAAGATTTCATAGTGGAAATGAATCTTAGAACAACGTTGAGGAGGGTGAGGAGGAGGCTTCATTTGGCTAGTAGAAATAGCTGGGTTCATCTTGAGGAGATAGGGATGGATGAGAGCCTTAAATTTACTAACAAGGTAGACATGCAGATATATATTGATAAATAGTACCAATCAGAATATGTAAGATATGGATGAATAAAGGCTGAAATTAGCCTCAAGCTTTGAAGGCCATGATCAGTCCTTTTCATTTAAATGCATTTCTTTTTTTCTCAGCCAGCAGCCAGGAGCCACTGCAGACTATCAGCACAAGGGGCAGGATTTGAAGAAAGTGTTTCTAGAAGAAGCTAATTCCTGAAACTAAGCATGGAGCATCACAGCTCAGACAAGCTGGGAAGGAGGGGAGGCCAACAGAGCTGTCCTAGACTAAATTTCTACAAACTCTCCCTTCATACCTTGTGTCCAACCATATGCTGATGGTTGATGTCCAACCTTACTAGGGCATATTGGAGCAAATTCTATGTGCTCATCCTGAAAATCTATTCTCTGATAGTTTACCCCACACGATCCATCCTGATCTACCTCCTATTCCCAAACCCTTTGATGAAGGTTGGTGTGTCTTTCCCCCCATCCTGACTAGTGTGCAGAGATGTGGGTCTCAGACATGCTTCCTACACTGCGTGTCGAATGACCTCTCCCTGCAATGCTCTCTTAACCCCTGGTTCTAACTAAAAAACACAGAGGCCGATTAGCCTCGAAGACCTAGTTCAAGATGCATCATCTTCATAGAACTCTCCCTGCAACCTTAGGTTCCAGAGAGCCTTCTCTCTCCCTCTAGCTCTGATGATGATTAATTTGAAAACTATAATATCTCACAGTGATGTGCCTGCTCCTTTAGTCAACAAATACTCTATGATCCCTGCCCTGGGAAAGCACTGTGCTGGGGGCTAAGAGGGATTTTCAAAGAAAAAGAAATATTGATCTCTATGGGTTCTGGGTATAACTTTTCAAGCATGTCCTGCCTTCCGATGTAGGTTGCAAACTTCACAGATAATCCAAAGCATGACCTCAATGAAGTCACACAAGTGAGGAATTCCTTACATTGCTATTGCAATGTCTGGAGCAAAAGGCAGACAAATCTGTATATTAGGACTGAGAGATCCACAAAGGAAGAGAAGGACTTAATTTTGCTGAAATTCTACTTAACTAAATTTCTGATATTCTACTATTCCAGCACAAACACAGAACCTATACAAGAACCAGTGACACAATAATTTTTCTTTC